CAGTCAGTGAGATAGGTAACAAATGTATTACTTAAGAGACATTCAGTCAGTGTGACACGTTTCCTGTCTCATCACAGGGGATAGTCTGTCACGGTCAGTGAGTCAGTTAGTCAATGATTGAGTCATTCAGGTGCAAAGAGGAATAAAAGCTCTGAGCATCAAACAACTAGTTTAGAAATACACCCCAAGCAAATCACTCTGTTAATGCCATGCTTTTATTATACTGGGCCGGCAATTGAAATGGAAATGTTTGCAAATTCAGCAATATGTATGCACACGTCCTTACATGGGGCCGCTCAATAGGTGAAGATCATTTTAATTCAATGGGTGGCCGAATGCTTCCAATCATAGAAATGTGGCATACACGTGAACAAAACAAGTGATCTGTATGGTCTCCTGCTATTTGATCAGTTTCAGTATAATTCGTAATATGGTTGTACAAACACGTACAGTACATAATCCTGCTGGTTGTTTTTGGAAGACGTATCCAGGAAGTAAAAATATATGTTATGAAACCATAAACAGTGACGTTCTGTTCACACAAGCATTAACTCAGTCTTTCTTTTTATTTTGAATTTTTTTTTTTAATTCTCCTAACTTTGACTTTTCAGTGAACCCAGAAGGGAAGCTTAGTTTATCAAGGTTTGGTTAATCAGATTATAAACATAATTGTTCATTTTTTATGAATTATGATTCAAATCAATCGGTTAATTAACTAAAATCGCCCGTCATTATTTTGATACACGATTATATAAGTATCATAAGGTCACACTGATTGTATGTAAACCTTTAGATCAGGGGTGATGACCATACCAAGTTTCAAGTTCATGCGTTGTTCCGTTTGAATAGAAAACCTGCGGAGAATTGTCGTTCAGAAAAAAAACCAAGGGATGATGCTTATCAGCTCCATCATCCAACAAAATCAAGTCTTCTAAATATTACTATCGTATGTAGACAGGTTTGACTTTTGCATTGGCAAGACTAAAGAGAGATAAGCAAACCACACTCTTATTACTGCCACAATCATATCACTCCCACGGCAACGTTCATATGGGGAAAAAAAAAGAAACATAACCAAAAAAAGAAAAGAAACATAGTCAGGTTGACGTAGCGGTACTTTCCTCGCCTTCCACCGCTGTGACCCGGGTTCGAATCCCGCCTGGGTCAATATGTGGATTGGGTTTTTAGTCCCTACCTGATTCCGTGGGTTTTCCTCAGAATACTCTTCTGGGCTTGTCCTCCCACCTCTAAAACTGTAATTTCTTCACATTGTCTTCTCTTTACTAGGACCCAAGGGAGATCAGTGGATTCCACTGAATGGGCTGACCAGTTAAAATAAGAAATAAATAAATAAATAAATAAATAAACATAACACAATCATTGCGGTCGCCCGCCTGTCTGTCACTCAAGGATTGGAAATATCGTTTTGGAAACAAAACACGGCGGCTAAAGTGCCTCATCCCTCTTCAATAAGAAAACGCATGATGCCAGACACGAGGTCGATGGTCAGATTGGTACATAGAGACTATTTTTTTTTCTCGCGAAATTTTGTCAACATAATTACAGACGCGAACCGAGCCCAAAGTCTGGCGCTGATTGGCATCTGCTGAACAGCATCGTTACCGAGAAATTGCACAGGGCATAATGACATTTTACACTTCTGTGCCATTAAAAGAACGACATCACTTAAAGGGAATATACAACATTTGCTTTTAACTGTAAATTTCAAAAATGGATGGATTTGGGGGTAAGCATTTTATGGCAAATATTGTTACACTGACTTGTTTGAGGTTTTGTGTTCGTAGATGCTGGGAAAAAAACAAGTAAAACAATCATGTTCCTGTAGTCTTGTTCCTGACCCCACTTACGATGAAACGGACGTCAGGGAATTGTAAGTTCAGAGAACCAGTCTAGCTGGCTCGCACCCGTTCATAGGTGTGTCGATTGCAAATAAAATGCAGACTAACTAAATAATTAAATTGGGGGGGGGGCAGTATTTGAAGGAATAAACCCAGTTTTTTTTTCCAATACTGGTTGCTGGTGGCAGACCAGCGTTGGAAATAATACTAACATACCACTTTTCTTGAAAATAACAGCAGACTGTAGGTGCCATGATTTTACAGGATGCTTTAGACTGTCATTCACTTACAGTCCAGTAAGGTATTTAGTAATTTGGTAGTTCTGTTTTTGGATGTTTGCAAATGTTGTATATTCCCTTTAATTAGCTAAAAGAAATTAGGTATAGCGGCCCCATTGACGACCTCAGATATAGCAGTTTAATCATGTGACCGAAAATGTCAGCATATAGGCAAATACGGAAGGTGACAAAGTTCCTAGGAAACTCCAAAAAAATCGAATTCCAAGGATTACAGTCAGTGCGACAGTTCGGATTCATTGACAGTTCCGGATCACTTGATTAAAATAATAAGAATGAATTCAAGTGTAACCAATTTGAAGTTTTCTATTATTTTTTCACCAATTTCAAGTCTATTACAATAATTGGAAAAGAAATGTTGGAAATCGTTTATAAACATTTCCCACAACGCAGTTCGGCGAAATGCGCGGTTGTTTTGTAACTGGTTTGTGAAGCGAAGCGCGTTAAGGCAAACTTCTGGTTCCCTCCGGTATGTAGTCCACTTTTAATATTTTGGCATTGCAATTGACTGAATTGCCGTATTCGCCGAAAGATTTTTATCCACGCAAAAAAATTAGACAGTTGCGGATCACCCATGCAATCTAATTATAGTATGCAGTCTACAGGCAGGTGCGATACACACGACTCGCTGAGCGCGCCGTAAAGTTGTGATTGTGCATGTACATGATGTGCATTGAGCTATAAACAGTGACCTCACCCATAGAGCAAGGTTAAGTTACATCTATCGACAAATCTGTCCTTGATCTCTGTTCAAGCTAAGGATCACTGTAGCGGATTGCGTAGTTAATAAGCCATTTGCGAGTTACATTTGAATAAAATCTGGAACGCTGACTTAATCCAATGCTTTGCACGTTTTAACTTTGCATTCTCCCGACCAAAGAGACTGTTACTATATCAAGTGATTCGGGGCAAGCCTTATGCTAGCAACCGCCAGCTCCGGTATGGTCTGGTGTCTTTGTGCCATCCTCACCCATTGTGAACAATGTATTGGTGCTGAACGTCTCTTACGTAACTATGCAAGAGCTTGCCCCGAATCATGTGATAATCAACAGTGTCTTTGGTCTGGAGAATTCAAAGTTCAAATGTGCCAAGCATTCTGAGCAAGTCAGTGTAACAGATGTTTTTCAAATGTAAATCCCTAAGGGTATAGGTTACTCGCATATGGCTTATTAGGCCTCTCATTCTCTTCTGTAATTTCTATTCTGCAACCACAGGCACTCTTTAAATTAAGATCAGATTAGTTCTGACCAAGATTGACCAATTTGATGGGTCATATAAGCCCTAGGCTTTAACTCGACCCTCAATTACAAGCAAGATTACAAGCAAGGTAATTTGTTTTGTTCTTGGGCATGCACTTTTGGCGAAACTTTCTAAAACAGACATTTTTTTAAACCAGACTACAGCGGCCTAATAATAACAATAGTGCTTGCTTGTATCGTCCCGATAACTTTTTTCTTGGTTTTTCGTTTTAATAATAATAATAATGAACACTTTTTTGTCAAAAACTGTGTTTTCAAGGTCCGCCCATGGGGATATGACTGCTTCACCAACCCATAACTCACATGATGGAGAAGCTTGTTTAGTTGGATTGAGTGCCTTTCCCATAGCCTACATCAACGCCGCATGATAACTGACGAAAAGTGGGTCAACTTACAGCTGTACGGTATTGCTGGTTTACCCGCATGACATTTTCCTCGTAGACTAGCAGGCTCCTTCACAGGCATTTTTAGAGAAAAGTGGACAAATAACAGCCATTCCCACTAGAAATGCTGCCCTAAGCTTCAGCAAGCCAGGTCAACAACAGAAAGGTGGGGGCGTTGTCATACAGATGATGCCAAAACAGCTAAAAAGAATATTCAATCTGCATCGCTACACATGCCAGAAAGCAGATGTTACGCATAATAACTGTGACACTTATATATATTTATATATGGAAAATAGACAATAGGCAAGTGCCTACACAACAAAACAGATGTTACACTTGTGTAAACATCTAAAACGTATAACTGTAGCACTGATAGTAATATGGAAATTAGACAATAGGCAAGCACCTACACAACACTGCCAATTTGGAGCAGTGAAAGGCGCTAACAAAGAAATTAGTCGATGTACGGCAGAAGAAAAGTCAATCTTATTTTTGTTGACAGCAACGAGAAAACTGCTTCACACACACGTGCAAAATTAACTATTAGGTCGTTGTTATTTATTCAAATCAAGTTTAATGCTTTCATTTACATCCATTTTGATCAACTTACGAACTTTGTTGAGCATAACCAGCATGTTGCTGTCACGCTGTGGTATTTCATTTGTGTCTACGTGAAACACCCTAACCAAAATAGGAAAGAGCGTAATCTGCAACTGTCGAAAATGATCCGCGACTGTTAGGGCAGATAGCGGAAATATTTGGGGGAATTGTGCCTCTGATGATACAAGCATGGCATTTGGTGCATTTTTAGAGTATGTCTAAAGCATGATATTTGGTAACAGGGCCATCGCAGATTTGTCCTTTGAAAAATAATAACAAGCAATTTTCAAAATTTTCAAAACGGCAGCCATAGCTTGTTATTCTACCCTATAGATTTTAACAAAAGCGATGGCCCTATGGGCAAATATCTTTCTCATAACATTCTCTGCCAAATGTGTGCCAAATGCCATGCTTGTGTCATTAAAGACACAATCCCATCATTATCTGCCGTAATATGTCGGGCTCAGTCTTGAACGAACAGCAGGGATTTATTTCCCTAGAAATTGAGTCTGTGTGATAATATTTGGTTATAAGATGAAGAGGACGAATTTTACGACGAAATCGTGTAACTCGGACACGGACACTCAGAGCATGGTCGGGTGCATGGCGGTCTGTATAAAAAGTGATCCGGAACTGTCGCACTGACTGTATTGAAGTCTGTGCCGAACGCGCGTGTCTTGCGCATGGCCATGAGCCGTGATAGGCGAGCAAACTGAAGCCTTACATTAGTAATGAGGGAATCTACAGTGCGGCCGCTGATTCCGATGTAGATCTATAAATGGAAATCGTCAAGTCAGATTCAGCACTTGTTTTCTCTCTCGGTGACTGAATCAGTTGTCTCCACCGCTTTGACGCGAGCAGATCGCTCTCCACAGAAATTACGGTTTGTGAGAGTGCAGCGTTTAATCATGAACGCTACCTTGGACGGCCCTACTGGATCAACACCAGCTTCGCCTGAGGGGTTCTACGGCCGTATCCCCGGGGCAGTCTACGATGTCACCGCAGTCTACTTGGGTCTCCTCACCTTCTTCGGTATCTTCAATAATGGACTGGTGCTGGTGTTGTACGCTAGGTACAAGACGCTACAAAATCCGGTCAACCTGTTCCTAATCAATATCTGCTTGGGTGACCTGAGTGTGTCTCTTTTCGGAAGTCCGTTCACCTTCGCCGCTAATGTCGCCCGCAGGTGGTTATTTGGTGCCGGCGGCTGTACCTGGTACGCTTTCATCGTCACGGTGTGTGGTGAGTTCCGTAGTGTGAATTGCAACTTGTGTTACACGAACAAATCCGCAAGTCGCTTTTAGAGGATAGACGATCTGTTTAAAAGTAAAATTAAAAAAAAAACAAAACAAGGGAAATCAATACAATATGCGGATGTATAAGAGGGTATTCATTGTAATTTCAATTAATTAAGATTTATTCATGTCTAAAATATAGCAATACAAAATCACTGCCCTCTAACGTAGAAGCACACATTTGTCTTTGAATCGCAGATCTAGCGAAATTGTATAGTTTACAAAACACTCTTGGCGCCGTCTGTGTTCCGTGAGGCGGTTGCTCACCCCAGTGAGACATGGGAAACCAAACAATTTTTTGAGGGGTTCCTTTGTTTCTAGGTTTCATTTTTTTCCCCTTTTAGCCTCTGGTAAGAAGTTCTAGTCTTGTTGTGGCAACTCCTAGTATTAATACTTTTAACAAGTTCATTGAGTATACGATAGAGGGGCCAAGTTGGGCCTTTCGCCACTTTTTGCCCCGGTTCGAACCCCACCTTGCGCACCATTAACATGTTCCAAACTACTTATAACCGAGAAATTAAAATGCCACTATAAAGTTAAGACGAAACACGTTACAGGCTTTGGCCCACGGCCCAATACGGGACAGCGAAGCCATACATTTTCTTCATAGAGCATACAGTCGTTCAGATTTATCATGCCATTTCTACTTGCCACGTAATGTGATATCTCTCATAATTCCTTAAGGAGCTAGAATTGCGCGACGTGTTTGGTAAGCTTTTGGGGGGTCATTTTTGTCAAAAAAACATTGAAGATTAGGCCAAAAAAATAATATTCGGTCTCTGGTCAGACCAAAGTTCCGGAATTGACGCGGCCACGCGGCTTTTTTTTTTTTTTTTTTTTTTTTTTTTTTTTTCTTCAAGCTTGGATTGTACAGACAAGGTGGGGTACTAATTTGCTTTTTTGGTGTCCTCGTGTACATTGGTGTCCTCCATAATTTGCCTTGGTGCTTTCGATCATTTGCCTTGGTGCAATTTCCCGTTCCTTGGTGCTCTTTGGTAAAAAAAAATTGAGCAGGTGCGGAAATAGAGGGCGCTGTTGGAGCTACCGCGGAACATTTTGAAAAAAAAAAAGATCGACGCGCATGATTAAAATCGACGCGCGCGCTGACCAGAGTCCGACTTATTTTTTTTTTTTTTGATCTTATCTCTGTAGCTACGATCGCCTTTTCGGAGGAGTTGAAACTAATCGTTTCTGTTTAAATTGACTCAAGTCAATTAAGCAAATAAAATAATTCAAAGCGTGGTGTACGCATTGGACTATGAGGATCATTAATAATTGTAATCAACATTAACAAGAGTGTCTCTAATCAAATGGACTAGAAAGATAGTACTAGAATCAGTCTACGTAATTTGACGATCAACTATTAACGAATGTAAATTTTTGTCTCGTAATTTTTAAAAGACGACCTTTTATGATCGCCAACGGTGCGCCTGGAGGCAACGGTACCTGACTGTCTTCCCGCCGCATGCATCAACAAAACAATGCTTCATTATTTTGATTGTATTGAGACCTTATATTGAATCTGAAACTTCGAAGAATAATTGAATATAAATTATTCTTTGGGTGGAATTTTGATCATTTCAGTTTTCCGATCGGCCGATTGATTTTCTGACATGTTGTAACTGCAACAGCGCATGGACGACGGATCATATTTCAGTGTTATTGCCCAACTGAACATATATGGCCAGTATTAAATGACCCGCAGGCTGCGCTACTCATTATTTTGGATAGCGACAATGGTTTCTTGTAAGGTGACGGCTACTCGCACCGTAGAGCTTTTTGCTCGTATGCCTGCAACAGCCAACGGCAAATACTACAAATGGTACAACTGTCAGCAGATATCACTAAAGGAAAAGCCAACGGCGGATGGGTAATGGGAAACCTCGCAAATCCCTACGGCCGCTGCCACAACTTGTATATCTTTCGGCTATATATAATTGCTCTGCTCTACTCTACGAAATGCCAATGTGTACGTTTTATTGAAAAGGAAAAGGCGTTATTTTTATTTTTCGCCTGTTGACGTTTTCAGCACTTTAAAACTTGTATTTGCTTTGCGTTTGCTTTTGGTTTGTCGTGTCGCAAATAATTCGAAATCTGTTAAGTAAAATTTAATATTCCATAATTAAATGTGGCAGGATTTGTTGTTTGATGTTTCATTCAAATGGTTTCTTGAGGGGGGGGAGGGGGCTAGAAAATAGCAGTTTAAAAGCAAAAATCTGTTTTGGCGGGATGCAGCTCGAAAATATAACGGGGAGAGCGACTTTAAATCATTGGTAACATGAACAGTAGCCGTGAACGCGACGATCGGACAGTGCGTCTACAGCGCAGTATGTTAATATCCCTTTAAGACCAAAGTACCTGTGAGCGTCTACAATGTGATCACACTGCGGTTTGTAGACCTTGCCTTCTTGAGTATCATCAACAACGTGCTATAGTTCTGGTACATGTATAAGCTATAATTATACAAGACGCTAGGAATTAATCAACCTGCTTCTGATTACCATCTGTGCAGACGTTTAGAGCGAGGCCGTTTTTGGTTTCTTTTCTTACCTTTGCAGCTAATATTGAAAGGGCGTTGAATTGTTGGTGTCACTAGCCGGCTACATGGTACCGGTGAAGCGTGAATATCCGACTCCATGAAATGTGGACTCGTTAGTAGTAAGGCGCATGCCGTAAGTACGATGATATGCTATATTTAGGATCATTATGGGGGAGTGACCTGTCACGTGCGAGGGATTAACCAATAATAGGGGAAAATGGTCCGATTTTCATAGGAGTCGGATTTTCATGTGACACCGGTATGCGCTCGTTCTTACAACTTGCATGGAGTTGAACAAATATCTGGACAGGGTTTTGCTGTGTTGTAATATCAGTAAGCAGCGCGCTGAGGCACGTATTCTGTAATCTCCCTTATTCTTTAAGGAAATTGCATTGATTTTTTTTTTCAAAAGGGAAAATCTGTGTCAAAGTATGCATGGGCAACAAAAACGGTTGTAGAAACAGCACTAAGAAGGAACGATGTATTTCTTAACAGGGGACATGTGTATTCAGGGTACGCAATCTGTTACAGAGGATTAAAAGAACGTGGAATATATTTCTAGTGACGCTGAGCAAGTCGTAATTCAGATACAAGAAGGGTCACGTGTATTAAAAAAAGAAAACCAGTCCCCCCCCCCCCCCGACTGAAAAGAGAGAAAATGTGTCCTTTATGAATAAAGGTAAGGATTTACATACGACATATCTCTTTATGATCTGTGAGGTTATGAAAAGAACCGGGGGAACTCAACGCTTCGGACAGTTTAGGCCCAAAAAAAAATATTCGGTCTCTGGTCAGACCAAAGTTCCGGAATTGACGCGGCCACGCGGCTTTTTTTTTTTTTCTTCAAGCTTGGATTGTACAGACAAGGTGGGGTACTATTTTGCTTTTTTGGTGTCCTCATGTACATTGGTGTCCTCCATAATTTGCCATGGTGCTTTCGATCATTTGCCTTGATGCAATTTCCCATTCCTTGGTGCTCTTTGGTAAAAAAAAATTGAGGAGGTGCGGAAATAGAGGGCGCTGTTGGAGCTACCGCGGAACATTTTGGAGAAAAAAAAAGATCGACGCGCATGATTAAAATCGACGCGCGCGCTGACCAGAGACCGACTTATTATTTATTTTGGCCTTACTCTGCCCGTCGTCAGGTGACTAACGACGGGCAGAGCATGCTGTCCGAAACGTTGGGTTTCCCTCGGTTCTTTCCAGAACCCCACAAACTCACAAAAGAGATTTGCTACAAGGTGCTACCGTAATTCTTGATTTTATTGCTATATCTCCACCATGCAAACCTTCAAATCTTGCGAATAAAGACTACTTCCCAGGACAATAAATACCAAAGTATCGGTTCTTTTTCGGATTCCCTTTTGACATTTCTTACAATAGGCGGAGTAACACCTGTCATGATTACAATAAGCGATCGCGCGCACTTATTTTTACTTCTCTCGAAAACGAAGTTTGATAGAAGGGAAAAAGCTGTCATACAATAATAACGCCATTTCTCAGGCACTTCAGATCAGCGAACTGATTGTCACTTTACGATGTGCTGTACGCAGATTGCAAGGACGAATTGGCATTAACCAGTCTAATTTCATGGACACTTAATGATGGCGAGTAACGACCGCTATGGAATGATGACGTTCGTCGCAGGCGCGGTTCTAGAACCAATATTTTGGGGGGGCTAGCACAGTGGATCCAGAATTTTTTCAGGGAGCATGCTGAAATGTTGACCGGTTATTTTTTCCAGACACTTAGGCCTCCGAAAATGGGGGGGGGGGGGGGGGGGGGGGGGCTCATGCCATATTTTCAATGGGGAGCGCCAATAAAATCCTAAAATCATTCACACTATATTAACTAATGCACCCTTGTCACGGCTATTTCTTCTTTAGGGGGAGACCGTTCGCATGTACATCACAATCCTTCTTTTTGCAAATGCTTTTTTTTTTTTTTTACGGAATTTATTTTGGGGGGGCTAGACAAAATTTGGGGGGGGGCTTCAGCCCCCCCCCCCTAGCCTCCCCCCCCCCCGTAGAACCGCGCCTGGTCAGAACTTCGTCGTAATTATTGATCCCTAATAAGCAATGAGAGATAGCAATTGGAGGATACCCCATATATATATATATATATATATATATTATTTCAAGGGGGACACAATATCTGCTTCCGCAGCATCTTGCTCTGTGTTGCCTATACTGTCTCCATGGGGTAGAAGTTAGCTATTATAAGTTTATAGCGGAAAATCACGGGGTAAGATGTGTCTTGGTATTTTGACTAGATGGAGGAATCATCATAAAAACAATGGGAATTGAAGTTTCTTATTAGAACAAGTGTATAACAGCGGATCATACGAGAAATCCTCCACTTTAATACGATGCTCGGTCGCTGTTCCCATCGTAATTTTCTCAGCGAATCAAAGAAGACTGCTGGTATTCCTTCACGCTTGCATCCATTACCAGAATACTATTATCTCCAATGCCATCGTCAATATTCCTGCCCATCTCTACAGATCGTTCAAGATTGAATTGAAGCCTTCAAAAATGATTTCCTACGCAGTGAGACCGGCATCTGCATCAGCTTGCAATAAACTTCGATGATTGCTGGATAACGGAATAAGCGTGGGGAACATAATGATGATCCTAACGAAAACCACGGACAGTCTAAATTCATCCCCTAATTGGCTATACCAGATAAGAGATGAAATCTCCGGACGCTGGAAATAGAAGCACCTGTCCAATTTTATAAATTGCCTTATTGGATGTCTAGAAAAACAGGCTGTTTTGGCATATGAAGATGAGATGAGGGTGCCCGTTGGAATATAAATGGGCAGTTCGTCACAGCCTACTCTGGCAGACTGTAGAAAACATGAATGACGTGCCCTGGAACCTCGTGAGTGAGAAATCTCAAACAAAATATAAGTGAATCTTATATAGCTTGTCGTTACAAAGGATGATATAAATACTAATTGATATGATCGAGTTACAGTTAGCATTACAAGTTATTGAAGTATGAATCATCGCTATAAACATGGCTGTTGTAAGCCTTTTGTCTAACCACCGCAGAAAATAGCTCAGGGAGTAAACGGATATTACTTTTATACATAATTATGGAGCAGTTAGAGAAACCTTGCATATGCAAGCAAACAAGAGGAGAGGGGTGTGTCTATGCCATTTTTATTCTCCCTGGGAATAATCTAATGCTGTATCCATCATCACCAAAAGTTTAAATAAGATTATTAAAAAGGCTCGGATACAATGGTGTTACCGCGGTCAATGATCATTAAAGGCCTATATTTCTGCAGGCGTTATTTTTTAGGGAATTCATTTTAGAAAATTTGAAAAAAAACAAAATATGTTCCATGAATTTGTCAATGCTAGTAATGTGTGAGGTCTCGATAAGACAAGACAAAAGAATTGTATGCATTATGCACAAAACAATAGACTCATTTGCATATCAATGAAACCAATTACCATATCAATGGATTGTGTTAGCATAATAAATGAGCGCATTGACGTATGGAAGTTTTATCGGACAAAGGAAGGGTCTGGAAATTTTATTGGACAAAGGGAGGACCCACCCCCTAGATTGAATATCGGACAGAGGAAGACTTGAACTGGAATATCGGACAGATGAAGACTTGAGCTGGAATATCGGACAGATGAAGACTTGAGTTGGAATATCGGACAGATGAAGACTTGAGCTGGAATATCGGACAGATGAAGACTTGAGCTGGAATATCGGACTGAGGAAGACTTGAGCTGGAATATCGGACTGAGGAAGAATTGAGCTGGAATATCGGACAAAAGGGAGACGCTGGATGGAATATATGGTACAAAGACAGATGTCAAACGTTTGAAAATGACTAAGAATATCATTTGTATTCATTCAAGCAGTGTGCTAACAGTGAATGAAAAAATAAAAATGGAGGCCACACCAACAGAGCGCCAATTAAATCAACTCGCTGGAAATCGCGTGAAAAAATGTTTTTACTCTAGGGATAATGGAGTAGTAGCGCAGTGACGGCAGTATAGGTAGTGCCTGCTCCTTTTTGTACACGTTTTACGGGGAAATGTAGGGGGGGGGCGGTTTGAGGAGCAATGAGGATCCATTGTAAAGGGTATTCAATAGAAAAGAGGATTAGCGGATGCAATGTGTAGTGATTATATATGAATTTGTCATTTTGGATGAATGGCATAGGTTGGACGGCGATCGGAACAATAGGCTCATTATACTTATATACAGGTTCCAACTACATGTGCATTAACAAAGCTTTCCACGAAAAACCTTGTCCACAGTGACCATGTAAAAAGCAAACCGGGTACCGTTAATGTCATCCTAAGCCCATCATGAATTATAGTATAATTGAAACGTATTGTATACAGGCCTGAAATACACTGGCATCTTTTAATGGCTTGCCTAATTAATGTTGCTTTGCTAAGTATAATGAGCCTATTGTTCCGATCGCCGTCCGACCTATGCCATTAATCCAAAATGACAAACAAATTCATTATATAATCCCTACACAATGCATCCGCTAATTCTCTTTTCTATTGAATACCCTTTACAATGGATCCTCATTGCTCCTCCAACCGCCCCCGCCCCCACATTTCCCCGTAAAACGTGTACAAAAAGGAGCAGGCACTACCTATACTGCCCCAACTGCACTACTACTCCATTTTCCCCGGAGTAAAAACATTTTTTTCACGCGATTTCCAGCGAGTTGACTTAATTGGCGCTCTGTTGGTGTGACCATTTTTATTTTTTCATTCACTGTTAGCACACTGCTTGAATGAATACAAATGATACTTCATTTTCAAACGTTTGACACCTGTCTTTGTACCATATATTCCATCCAGCGTCTCCCTTTTGTCCGATATTCCAACACAAGTCTTCATCTGTCCGATATTCCAACTCAAGTCGTCATCTGTCCGATATTCCAGTTCAAGTCTTCCTCTGTCCGATATTCCAGTTCAAGTCTTCCTCTGTCTGATATTTCAGTTCAAGTCTTCCTCTGTCCGATATTCCATTTCAAGTCTTCCTCTGTCCGATATTCAATCTAGGGGGTGGGTCCTCCCTTTGTCCAATAAAATTTCCAGACCCTTCCTTTGTCCGATAAAACTTCCATACGCCAGTGCGCTCTTTTATTATGCTAACATAATCCATTGATATGGTAATAAGTTTCATTGATATGCAAACGAGTCTATTGTTTTGTGCATTATGCATAAAATTCTTTTGTCTTGTCTTATCGAGACCCTACTAAATAATTTCAGTTTTGAATGGAAGTCGGCCATACCGGTATATGAAAGAAAGCTTTGAACTATTTGCCCTAGTTAGGGTACACATTTTTGTTCATGTAATAATGCAGTTCACATGACCTGATGTATTGTTTTTGTTTGTAAAGTTGAAACTGTGTATAGTTTCTCAACCGCGTTTTTTGAGAACCTTGGTTTTTCGTTGTTTTCGTTTACTGTTTAGCATTTGGGGGAAATCACAAGCCTTTTTCAGGTGCGCTCGATTTCCACGATCTGTCTATAGAAATACAAATAATATTTTCTATCAAACAATTCCATTAAAGTCAACCCCTGTTTTCTTTTCAAAGTTTAAAAAGTTCAACCAACATCGTTCCCAGGGTCTACTTCGACCTCGTTGTCAATAGGAGATAGCGGCTCGCAGAAGCGTACTGCTAAACGCCTTGGGGACGAGTTTAAAGTTCCACCAATCCCGCTGTTCGAAGCCATTTGAACGTTACTATTGTTCGGGCGCATTTCATAATGAACTCTTAACCAGAATGGCTCCGTGTTATAACATTTTCCTGTCTCTGTCCCTTTAGGAACCGAGCAGATTGTGTCATTGGCCGCCGTGTCAGTCCACCGATGCTGCCTGGTTGTGCGTCCCTTCACTGCCCAAAAGATGACCACGCGCCTGGCCTTGCTATTCATTGCCCTGACGTGGGCCTACTCCTTGATTGTATCACTGCCTCCAGCTATAGGCTGGAATTCATACGTCTTGGAGGGAACCGGAACAGGTTGGTAAACAGTGTATTTATGCCCTTAATCATTTATTCTTGGTCGAATCCAGGGGCGTATCGATGGGGGCGGGGTCGATCGACACCCCCCCCCCCACCACCACCACCACCACATCCCGAAAAGCCAAATGGCAATTAAAGCTATTTAATGGTGGTAAATCTAACAGTAAAAAAAAACGCTTGAAGAAATCGCTGCTGCTACAGAAGAATTTCGATCAGCGCAACTCTGGAACGCTTGTCTATCTTAAACGGTGTTAAAGGCTTTCACCCTTTTGTTATTTAAAATATTGAGATCCTCTTCTTCTGAGTTGCCTGAAGCATCGTAGCCAGGAGAACTGGCCGGAATCGTCAATCAATTCACGATTCCAGTGAACTCGCCGACCTGTCCCTTGCGGGAATTGATTGAAACTCAACGCCGTGCTTCAACCAATCTTAAGCCAGCGTTAAATGCTACTATAGCACTGTTCACAAAATGTATTATCCGCCGTCGTGACATTTACGTTGGGATCCCGTCTCCGGTTTTTTTTCCTGTATTAGCAAAGCCCTCAACCTCGTGTACAGCAACTGCAGTCTCCAAACCAAAACGCTTATAAGTGTTCCACAGCATTTCAGCTTCAAAATGCAGGTCTTAAGTGCAGAACAAATAAGTGCAAAGTGGAAAGAAGCGGAGCACAGTCGAGACGTGCAAACGGAGCAAAGCACCCATTCTGGAATTTGTATCCTTGTGGAGACATTTCTTTGTTCTCGTGTAGTAAAGTTTTCGAGTTTGAAATTGCAGTTTCAAAATGCTTTTATTTTAACCAGAATTAATCTCCTGGGCTGAAATTTGGACTAAATATCCCTTTTCTAAAACTCTTCCATTTGCGACGGATCAACCTACCTTGGAAATTCCTAGTTTTTGAGTAAAATCCATATATCTACTTCGTGAAATTCTTGTGGAGACGTATTCATCTATAGAAATTGCCCTGTGGAGACCTTTACAATGTTTTGTTCCCTATTGTGTGTGTGTCTCCACAAGGATACGAATTTGTAGTCACACGCACTCACACCTGAAAAGTAAGGTCCAGCGCCGGGAGCTAGTAGTTGCCTTGAAGAGTATAAAAAAAATAAGCAAGATTAAATGAAACGGGGCAAAGCTGTGCACATTCATGGAAAATGCTAATCAAAGTCGAGTTACTAGAGAAAGTTTGGATAACCATGTAAGGCTATCTACAGGATATCCAATTTCAAAACAAACACAACGCGAAAATAAACCAAAGACGGATACCCAATATCACAAACATGTCATGGCCTACACTCTCGTTTTTATGCAGATGATACACAACTCTTTGCCACCGTGTCCAATTTCTCCTGGTGATGACACGTTATACAACACCTGAATAAATCCCCGTCATCTGATTGGTGGATCGTTGATCACATGTCATTGAATTATCCATACCATTGCACGGCGCTCGCGTGGCGCGCAGCGCACAGTACAATGGAAGTACTATTGCACTGTGATTAGAAGTACCATTGCACTGTCACTGCACATGTTGCCGATGGTGGCGCTGTGGTGTTTAAATTGGCAATAAAAGTTCTGAACTTATTGAACTGTTTGAGTTCTAAACTTATGGAAAAGTTTTTAATTAAGACAAATTGAATATGATATTCTCAACCTGTTGAACAGTTTGCATAAATTAAATATGATAACTCTGCACTTGTCAAACTTGTAAAAAAAAATTAACTTTAATAATTGGCTATTAAAAGTCAACCAATCAGATGACGAGGATTTATTCAGGTGTTATATAATAATGAATGTTTCATGTTCGTGCAATAGAAAGAATAATTTAATTCGGTGTCAGATGAAATGTTCCATTCCACTCGGCTTCGCCTCGTGGAATGGAACATTTCATCTGTCACCTCATGAAATTATTCTTACCATTGCACTCACAAACATTCATTATTTGTATAATAACACACCATATTCTTGAAACATGCCTGAAAGACATCCTCAAGTGGAAGACAGCCAATCTCCTCAAATAATTCAATACAGATAAAACACAGTTGTCATTTGCTCTCAGCGCCTCAGACACAAAGTCAACATCTCTGACATAGGAGATGCTCTGATGCCCGCTATCTTGGTGTCAACAAGTCAATGAACCTTGAATAACATGTCTCTTCTATTTGTCAGTCCTCTTACATGCATCTTTGACGTAGCAACAGTAAGAAACTCACTAATGGGTCATTCCATGTCAGACCAACGCACTTTTTTACCTTATGTCTTCCGATTTTGATAAAAATTGCTGTGCTTGTAGGTCCTGATGAGCAATGAATGCACACCAATTTTTAGCCCGATCCGACCTACCATATGGTCAGGGCAGAAACCAGAAAAAACGGAAATTTTAGAGTAAAATACCACCCTTTTGGTAGAAATATGTCAAAACCATGTCAATTTTCATCGAATATATGCGAATTTGGTATCAAAATAATAAGAATTGCATGCTCAAATCAACTCTTTTGTCAAAACTAAATTTTGTGAAAAGAAGGTCACGTTACCTCTTAATATGTTATCGTGACCTTTGACCCAATTTATGTAATAATGTATCATTCCGAAAATCAACGAAATGAAAATGACTTGATAGAACATGTCTTCTCTATCAGAATCTACTAAATATCAATTGGGGTCTTCAAAATTTATAACTTTATGACTATTTTTGTACAGTTGGTGGGTTACAAATGAGTCAATTTACAGACTTTACATTAGAAATCCACCCACACAACTTACTATCCTGTTTCTAAAGGTACTTAAATTAATCTTGGTTTGGGAATTTCTCATGTTTAGGGCTGATGAGGTATAACCAGACTCATAATATAAATTATCAGCAGTGGCGCACCCAGGATTTTGCTTTGGGGGGGGGGCTCATAGCTTTTTTGTTGTCAAATTTCTGTAGAAGATTGAAAAAAATCAAACAACAAACAAATTGACAACCTTGGAGGGGGGTGGGTTCAAGCCCCTCGATCCCCACCACACCCCCAACCCCCCAACCCCCCCCCCCCCCGGTGCCACTGATAATTAGTTATCCCACGAGCGCGCTTGGAATATTGGAATATGAAACAATGCAATGCTGCTGTGACCCATACGCCACCTGACGCACTACATTATTCCATGTTCCACGAGCCATAACGAATTTATCTTCAAGCAAACTTGACGTCGAATGCGTACATTGTACGTGGCGAGGGATGTAGGTACATAGTGTATCGGACCGTTCAACAGCAAATAAAAAGAACACAATACATACATGTACATGTACATTCGATATCTGGGGCACAATATAGCTGTGCAGTATTATATCAAATCACACTGTTGTTGCTATACATGAAGATGGACTAGTCAGGGTCTAGGATTCAAGGTTGCTTGAAGATAATACTCAATATCGCAATCAAGGTTACCTTACTCATTCATCACTACGCTTCTTGAAATTTAATGAGTCTCACAGACTTGGCATTTTTTTTCCTTCGAGATAAATTTCACCTGGATGTGTGTCCACTGTACTGGGTCCGGGTAAAAAGCATAGAGCTGTTGCGTACCCTAAACAGTAACTGCTGATGACAATAGACTCTCGAGCATTCGACGTCAAGTTTGCTTGAAGATAAATTCATTATCCCACTTGCGCTCGTGTTACACGGAATAATGTAGTGCGTCGGGTGGCATAAGGGTCACAGCAGCATTCCATTGTTTCATATTCCAAGCGCGCTCGTGGGATAACTAATTATCAGTGGCACCGGGTGGGTGGGTGGGGGGGGGCCTCAATTCAAAGCGCACTCGTGGGATAACTAATTATCAGTGGAACCGGTGGGGGGGGGGGGGGCTCGAGGGGCTAATTGACAAATTGACTAATTTGTAACCTACCAACTGTACAAAAATAGTCATAAAGTTGAAGATTTTAAAGACCCCAATTGATTTTTAGTGGATTCTGATAGAGGAAGACATGCTCTATCAAGTCATTTTCAGTTTGTTGATTTTCGGAATGATACATTAGTACATAAATTGGGTCAAAGGTCACGATAAACTATTAAAGGTCACGTGACCTACTTTTCACAAAATTTAATTTTGACAAAAGAGTTGATTTGAGCATGCAATTCTTATTATTTTGATACCAAATTCGCATATATTCGATGAAAATTGACATGGTTTTGACATATTTCTACCAAAAGGGTGATATTTTACTCTAAAAATGTCCGTTTTTTGTGGTTTCTGCCCTGACCATATGGTAGGTCGGATCGGGCTAAAAATTGGTGTGCATTCATTGCTCATCAGGACCTACAAGCACAGCAATTTTTATCAAAATCGGAAGACATGAGGTAAAAAAGTGCATGGGTCTGACATGGAATGACCCTTATATATCATCTGCTGCAGAACAACTCATTCATACTTTTATATCATCCAGATTAGATTTTTGCAATAGTCTACTGGTACCTGTAGGGCTACCACAACATACGAATAATCTTCTCCAACTTGTCCAGAACTCTGCCGCACTCACAAGAAGGAAATCATCTTGCCACATAACACGTACCCGTCTTGTGCAAACTTCATTGGTTACCAACCCAGTACCGCAAACACTACAAAGTTCTCCTACTTACATTCAAAGCTCTTCATGGATTAGCCCCACTGTATCTGAAGGAAATGGTACAACATCTTCAACCGAGACCAGGTCTGAGGTCGTCACCCAGTATACTGTTTGTCCCGAAAACTCGTTTGGTGACCTACGGAGACCGTGCATTTTCCAGCTCTATACCACGTCTCTGGAACTCGTTACCAGACGAGTTAAGGGCAATACACCAATTATCTCTCTTCACACGCCAACTAAAGACCCACCTCTTCAATCAGTTTCTTTCTCACACATAATGACCTCTACCTTCACACACACTGACTTTTCACTGACCGGCGCCTTTAAATGACTACTATTTCCAGATACTGTGCGCCTTACAAATGCTTTGTTATAAATATTATTATTATTAAACAAGGTAATACGAAAAACGTTTAAAAAAATTAAAAAAATTAAAAAAACATTTTCAGAGATAAATATTCGCTTCTCATGTGAAAGGCACGCTATAATCTATGGGAAAGATGAGCTATAATAATAATAATAATAACACAGTTTTTATATAGCGCATCACACCGAGGTCTCGATACGCTTCACAGGAAACAACAATTAAAAGCAATTAATGGAACAGGTAAGTTTTAAGGAGTGTTTTAAATTCATTTTCGGCATCGACAGTTCTAATATGGTGTGGGAGAGAGTTCCAAAGCGATGGTGATGCATGCATGAAGGAACGATGTCCATAAGTCTTAGTGCGAGTGACCGGTGTACTGAGCAGCAATGTTGAGCTAGAACGGAGGGTGCGTTGTGGCTGGTATACTTGAATAAGTTCACGAAGGTATGCTGGTGCTGAGCCGTGGATGCATTTGTGAGTTAGGAGTAGAATCTTGAAGGCGATTCGCTCATTGACAGGTAGCCAATGAAGGGTGCGAAGAATAGGGGTTATATGTTGCCTGGATGATGTACGTGTAACAAGTCTGGCGGCGGAATTCTGGATGCGCTGAAGTTTCGAGGTTTGAGAATCAGGAATACAGTGTAGGAGACTATTGCAGAAATCGAGACGGCAAGAGATAAAAGCATGGACAAGCTTTTCCGTCGTTTGTTGGTCGAGGAAATTTCGAATGTGTCCTATCTTGTGGAGAGCTAGGTAAGAAGAGCGGCATATGTTGTTGACCTGGTTTTGCATTCTAAGGTTTGACGTGATAATAGTTCCAAGGTCACGGGCGCTAGTGACAGGTCTGCTGCAGGATACGGACAAAATAGTACCGTTGAGTGACATCTCATTGTTCACAACAAAATCCTGAAACAATGAGGTATAATTTTGCTTCCATTAAAAAATACTACTTCTTTCATTCATTTTTTCAAAGAAGCTAGAAGCCATAAAAAAATCCCAATAAAGTCGTCGTAGCTGCCAAATATCTTTCTTTGGGGGCGGTGTGATGTTGTATCCTTGAATTATACTTGTCTCAAAAGAGCCCTAAAAGATAACGTGTGATAAATATCCGCGACCCGTCTTTTCACAAAAATACAGAAGTGCTGAGAAAGTCAAAGAGCAGCATCTGGAATTACATTGCATGATATGTAATCGTCTCTTCATTCTTTGTAGTCGTTTTCTAAATTGATTAGAGTTGACGTAGGCAGATGTAATAGAATTATGAAACCTGTTTTCCCCCACCAATTATTGAATTGAATTTGTCATCAAGATTGAAGCAGGATCCATTTGTATCGCCATAATGAATTTCAGCGAACAACAACATGCTGAGATTACGGACATTGTATAGATTTAGAGGTGGTATATCTAAAAAGTGTAAGTTTAAGCGAGCAAAACGAGTTCAGTAAAGCTCATTTCCTCTTCAGTAATCAAACATTAACTTCGCATGCGACTGAAAATGCACATTAAGGGTTAACATTTGCAAAGTTGTCCGAAAAAAAAGGTACCGTAAATTACACTTCAGTCAATTGGTACAATTGTTATCGGTAATTTCTAACTTTACATAAAAATTCAAATCATTCATGCACACCACGTTTTCGTCCATACGGTAAAAAAAATACGCATAGGACCTCTTTAACTTTGGACAGCTACAGAGAGGCAGCTCAATCAGATGTGAGACGGAAAAAAATACCTGGAATACGTATTGATGTTCTTTCGAGCTATCTCTTAATGGAATTACTTCGGGTACATTGAAGTACTCCAGGTATTGCCCGAGAAGTGTTATCAGAAGCCACGATGGGGAATAATTATTCGCGGTAGTTTTATTTTTCAAATTAAACGCGCTTAGGAAACACAAGGTTTTTGATTTAGAGATTTTATTCTAAACGAGATCATGGGCGTTCCCCAGCACTTTTCGCAAGGATATCCAGTATTATATTCAGACGGTTTACCTTATTTGATTATTATTTTGCTGCGAGCGGACATGTGATCCAATCAATGGCTTTCAATGGGAGCTAGCTAGCGGTACCCATTTTTCTTGGGGGGAGGGGGGAGGGGGAAAGCAGTCTATTGCATATTCGGAAAGGGAGGGGCTGGACTTTGATCAGACGTTAGAGGGCGCTCTTCTCCCTTTTCTTATCGCTCTTTTTGTTTGTATTTCACAAATGGCAGAGAGAAAGGGGTGAGTAGCATCGATATAAACTTCTCTTCCGGTTTAGCCTTACTACTGGAAAAAAGTGACTGTCACTTGTTTGGAGGGGGCGGGGCCATTGTCCACGTTGCCACCCCCCCCCCCTTCTGGGTGCACCGAGTTAAAAATAAACCCGTCAATGACATTGAGTTTGGATTTTTTGCAGCATGTTCCGTAGACTGGACCTCCAACGAACCGGGCGACTCGTCTTACATCATATTCATTTTCGTCATGGTTCTGGTCATTCCATTTTCGCTGATTGTGGGCTCCTACACACTGCTCATCTATGCCGTCAAAAAGGTGAGAATTCATTCATTCGTAAGGTTACCACTATAGGGTTACCAATTCCAAAAGAAAAGTGCACTGTCAATTAATTCATTATATGAAATCAACACCAAGTAGGCCTTTCTTGTATTCTAATGCTAAGTCCGGAAAGCAATTACTTTTTATGCCACCAAGTATGGTAACTGACTATAATGCGCATGCGTCAGTTGTTCCCGGATTCATGCTAAATTTATCTCGAAGCAAACACCTAAACAAATATAACTTTGAGTAAAACTGGGGGATGGTATCTCAGAGTTAATCATATCTATTAACCCACGGCGCGGCGCCGTCGCCAACCCCGAGCATGGGGGGGGGATACCAAATAGGGAGGCCCTCTACCTTAAACAATACAAAAATACATTGGTACGTCGGGGGATGGGAATTGCTCGACAATGGGGGGGGGGGGGGCACCAGCCCACCCCCTTGGCGACGGACCTGTCACGGCGTCCAATTTAATCTTAAAACAGAGGCTTTTATATACCCCTATTACAATGACACTTCAATCCCTCGTTTGAAATCAAGACGTCATAAACTCATTTAAATTGCATGTGGAACAATAATATTTCAGTCGCATGAATGCAGTCGCAGTCTCAAGCGTGCGTATTACATTACTACACCTGCTTGCAGAAGAAAAAAAATGTGCCGGAGAAGATAGTAACAGTGTCTTGATTTAAAAATGTGCGAACGAAAACGATTTGGAAAATCGTTGGAACTTCTAGGAAATCGTTCATAAAATGTCATGTTTATAAATCACTCACAAATGTTTGAAATACTTTAATTCTCCGCTACCGTCTTTAACATAGGTTTTCCCGGACAGTTTTGGAAAATGTACATTTGAATTTGTAAAACTAATTCGATTTGGCGCTAATTTTGAGAACGACGTATATTCTGGTTTCATTTTCGCAATAACTAGCATTCGATTTCATTTTGCATCACTCAAATAAATGAATGTGCATAACGTTTCATTTAAAGGATTACAAAAACATGATTAGACTTTCGGTTTGACGAATGCGTTGCCGATTATTACGAATGTGCAATCCGTTTCGCCAAAAATCTTTTCTTTTTTTGGACACGGGCTTAATTGAACATTCTTTTTCATTTGTTAAAATTTCAATTCGTATATTCTGCATTCAATTCAAATAAAGTATAAAGGCCTTTATAAATCATGATACAGCTTTGATTGATTCATTAATTAATCAATGTATTACAGGCATAATTGATCATTAATATGTTTGTTCTTAAATACACAAAGGCCTATTCAAAATAGGCAAACAAAGTGTTAAAAAGACATATTAATCTTACCAAAATAAAATCAATCAAAATAATCTCGTAGGCTATTATTGGGACGGTAAGGGGAAACATCACGTGTCATGTTACATGGGATCTGGGGATTTTTGTTGTTGGTTTTTGTCTTAATTTCATTATAATGTTTGTTTTGTATTTATAAAGTTCTCTCTCATTTTATCTTTTCGATTGCTTGGTTATATGATGCGTTTGTGGCAAATGATGAGCAAAAAAAAAGCGATTGTCTTCAGCTTAGGTTTTTATGTAGTATTTATTGTATTGGTATGTTTCAAAAGACTATACACCACTTGGTTAAGTTCAATCAATCATGAATATTCAATCATTCAATGATTCAATCAAACATTCCTCATGTTACTGTCATGGAATAGGAGCGGGTTAATGACTCCTATCAGGGAGGGGGTGTGGATGCCAGCTCGGGGGTTGAGGGTGTGTACCCTTGGGATGGAATAACAACTCTGGACTGCACTCACTTCCACGTGGACAGAACTTTAAAACGGTGGTTGTGTTTAAAAGTCCATAACTTAAAAAGTACTAGAGTGATTTGAATAATTCTTGTACTAAAAAAAAGCTTATGAATTTGGCTTTTATATCCTAGATTTTAAAAGTGCTACATGTAGAACTTCACTAAAACAACAGTCCCAACATTCTGGTTTCGTTTTTGACTCACCCAGTATACCTAGCTACTTTAACATTGCTCAGTCAAAATAAAGAGGAGCCGACATGCTTGTTAGTAACACACTCGATCGGGTTTCAAATTCGCGTCGAGCTTTGGCCATCTTCAATAGAGGAATCAATCGCGCAGCAAGCCCACGCACACACAAGTAAATTGATTGATGGTAATGTTTACGGGCATCCTGGGAAAGACTTGGAAAGACTTAATTTCCTGAAGAGATGGGTTGCTTTTATCATAGTTTCAGACTGCAGAAAGTATGGGGCCCGTTCGCTACACCCCCAAGTAAACTAGCTAAAAGAGGTAAAGGAACTGGAAAACAGGCTTCCACACTGGAAGACACAGAAATACACGCACTCGATAAGAGAAGAAAGACTTTAAGAAACAAGGATAAGTTATCACAGCACGAGAGGATTGAGCTTTTTGAAACAAGCAAGCTCGTCAAAACGAAAAGGAGACAAAGACGGAGGAGAAGAAGAAGAAGGATTAAAAAGATAGGATCCATCATCAAAAATGGTCCACAGCAGATTGACAAGGACAGCAATAATTCAAAATATGCTCAATGAGAAAACAAAATGGAGAGAAAACAACAGACAGAATAGAAACAGTGGAAATTTGGGCTGATTTCTACAAAGATATGTTTAGCTCAAAAACAAAGACGGGAGAGGATACAACTAGATCAAGCCCAGATGAATCAGACATACCACCAATAACCAACTCGAGAGTTCAAACTGCAGTCTATCAAATGAAAAGAAACAAAGCACCAGGTATTGATCAAATGACAACTGATATAATAATACTGGTTGGAGAGGAAGCCATTCAAGAAATGGTCACCCTATTCAACGACATTCTGAATAAAATGAGGATACCAAAAGAATGGATGGAAGCCAGAATCAGTACACTTTAAAAAAAAAAGGAGATAAAATGAAGTGAAGACCAATAAGTCTTCTTTCACACTTGTAGAAAATATTCGCAAAAGTAACAGCAGAATAGAAAGAGTCTTAGACGAACATCAGATCAGATATTTAACAACGGACCATGCAAGCTATAAACCAGACCATAGAGAAGATGAACGAATACAATCCACCACTGTGCATCGGCTTTGTGGACTTCAAAAAAGCCTTCGATTCCACAGAACATCCGGCCATGGTTAGATCATTATGAAATAATTATTTATAAGAATAGACGAAACCTACATCAACATCCTGGAAGATATATACACAAATGCAACAGCTAAAATTAACTTAGATAATGAAATATCAACTGAAATCAAGATATCAAGAGGGGTTCGACAAGTTCTCCCTGACTATTCAACGCAATTCTTGAAAATGTTTTCAAGAAAGCAGCAATGGAAGAGGAAGGATTCAACATCGATGGAGAATCATTATAGAACCTGAGATTTGCTGATCAATGTGGCCATATTCTCATACTCCATCAAAAGCCTAGAGAGACAAATGAAGGAGCTTGCACCAAGAATGCAACTGATTTGGGCTTAAAATGCACAAAGGAAAGACACAATTTATGACAAATACTGATTCTCGAGTCATTGTCAACATTGAGAATGAAATAATAGAAAAAGGAAATTAATACAAAATACTTTGGTCAAACCCTATAAGAAGCAAGACACAACTAAAGAAGAGGTACTCACAAGAATAAAGGCAGGATGTGGTCTATTCGGAAGATATAAATAAATCTGTTATGACAAAAAACTACCAATAGCATTGAAGAAGAGAAGAGCATACTTCCAAAAAATACTTATGGATGCCAAACATGGACAGTTGCCAAGTAAATTTACAATAAAAAGAATGATGCCAGGAATTACACTATAAGACCGGATACCCAATCAAATAATTAGGTGTAAAAACAATTGGAAGTAAATTACATCGCCACTTACGTCAACACAATGAAATGGAAATGGGCATGACATGTAGCCAGGATGGCAGGCAACAGATGGACAAAAAGAACAACAGAATGACAACCTAGAACAGGAAAAGATCTAGAGGCAGACCCCCCAAAAGGATGGAGAGATGACATATCAAAAGTCCGCGGTTGTGGGACAAGCAGCAAAGGAAAGAACAACCTGGAGGGGTCTGGCAGAGGGCTACATCCTGCAGTGGATGGACGACGCCAATCGGTAAAGGTAAACCGAACGAAATATCATTTACAATCTTTCTATTAACGTGCAATCACTCGTGGTTGAAGACGGTCGAATCTGACTCCCGGCTTTAAGCAAATGAAGGTCAGAAAAAAATCGCTTTATATTTAATCAGGAATGAAAATAAAATACTCGCCGGTGAACGGAAATCTTTGAAATGACAAGACGATCGGCTTGTGTCCTTGTAGTGACTAGATTTCAAGTCGGTTCTGTACATAACCGGACAAAACACACAGTATTTTGTCTATGAGAAGCGATCTGCTCATTGTTTTCATTCTTATTTGTAACGGAGCTACATTGTGTCATAGTTGCAAGCAAAAATCCATCAATCATGCTACATGCATGGTGCGAACGTCGTTTGAAATAAACACTCTGCAAGCCTGAAGCTTAAATAACAGAAATGCCAGCGAATACATCAGTTCTGATGAAGTAGTTGTCATCCAGAAGCCCGTATCTTCAATCCTATCAACGTTGCTGATTATAATTCCCCCAATCTGCAGATTTCCCCCAATCTGCAGATAGGCACATTATTTTGCCTATTAAAATTCTACACGGAAGACTGCGTATGAACATTTTATTACCATCCTCGTCATGATAATCTTTCTGACCAAATATATTGCCTGCTGATCCGATTGGGTGGGTTTTTTGTTTTACCTTTAGTGAATGATCTGAGCACATGCAGCCGGCTGCTTGCTCAAATAAACAGCCTTACGCTTAAAGGTGTGTTAAGGTTCAGTATTTAAGTTTACTAAAAAATATATAAACTTGAGCCACCAGATTACACAACGTTTTTACCAAGTTCAATCAAAAAGTTCAGTCAGGTCAAGTTATTTACACCAAGTTACGCCAAGTTAATTACGGCAATTTAGATTCACCGTCCTCACCTGTCACCACGAACTTACTGCAAGTCTCCAAACTTTGTCGTCAATTTTGTCGCTCGCCACCAAGTCACAGTATTATTGATCTTCGCCACCTAACTGTCATCTTATTAAACTGTCACCCAATTATTGAAGTTTGCCACTCCATTCCGCATCAGATGGAATGATTTTGTTTCCAATGACGACATCCTGACGATGGCAAAGGTAGATGACATTGGGATAGTGTGGATGCGATGCCAGCTGCGATATATTGGACACATTCGTAGGATGACTGACGAGAGACCGGTGAAAGCCCTCTTTTACAGTGACCTTTAGAAGGGCACGAGGCGCGTAGGACGTCCCCTCCTGCGTTACAATGGCGTTTTCAGAAGGACACTCCAGAGGACGTCTTCCCTTACCACCTGGAGCGACTTGGCACTGGATCGAACCACCTGGAGATCATACACGAGGAAAGCTTGTTGTGACTATGATACCGAACGGAGGCTGAAGGAGCTTGAAAGGAGAGCTCGCAGCTATCTCAAGAAAGGGAGCTGGCGATAAATGCCCGTGTCGGGCAATGGCCCCTACCTACCACTCCAGACGTTAAAGTCATCGGTCGAGTTAAATTGACATCTTAAATCAGCAATCGGTGCGTCTCATTGTTGAGTAACATTTTCATTTCTGACGTAATCTGTAGCGCAGAGGCTACATTAGTCTATGTCATTCTGCTGATGAGTGCCTTACGGTACGAAACAGTCTGTCCAGAGGAAAAATATGCTAAAGTTTGATTAACTCATATCCTAAATTTATTGCATAATGTATATAAATGTATAGTTTCTCGTTTTCTCATTTCTGATCATCTTTCTATACTCAGTTCAAGGTTCTCCTGGGCATACCACTGTCTTTTCAAATTCTGAACCCTATGTTCTTTAAAGGAGTATGAAAAATAGAAATTTAAAACATCAAAACACTATATGTGTACAAGTTTTTGCAACGTGTGATGCTGAAGCGGTTGTAACACTGAAGCTCCTGCCTTATGACAACACTGTCTTGCCATGAGTGCGGAAAACAAACTAGCATCAAAACCAAAGAGGTCCTGAAACACATTCCAAACAATACACGAAGACCTGATATTGAAAACGTATGTTAGTTGCAATTTAATATTGATGCAAATATCGAAACAAATGTTAAGTTGAAAACGAAATGCCAACTGTCTGAAAACAGGCTTCTATGTGGCAGGGAATGATTTAAAATGGTGTGATGCCTGCTGAAAGACACGAGGTACACCGAGGAATGCGGGTAATTACAAGTAGAGGCACAGAACGATACACACCGTGAAAACTGCATCGTTGTGAGATGATGAGAGGTGTTTTTTTGAAATTCTCTTGACATTGGAAATTCCAAACGTGGGATTGGGGCGACTGGACAATATTTTCCCAGATTAAGGTAACTGGCCATTGCCAGGGTTATTTCATGGAGATAACTTATATCTTTCTCTCCCCCCGCCCCCCCCCCCCTCGACCTTCCCTGGATGTGTTACCGCTACCCAAGGGTGCTGGTGGCGTCTATTTTCCTTGAGCACTAATTGGGTTATTCAAATTTGTGTGACGTGTACGCTTTGGTAAAAACAAACTTAGCTGTAAGCTACTCACAATCCAATGCGTTGGAATGTTTTGCGGGAGAGGCGAGCCCTCGCCAATGTTCGTGAATAAAAAGCTGTGTTCAAGCGAAGCCCATAGTCACCATTCAGGGAATAGTGACGCGGTTGACTCCGGCATTTCCGGAGCTCCGGCGATTTCTTTATGAATATAAATGGAGCATTTATAAAGCGCTTTTAACAAAGATCAAAGCGCTGTACAAAAGTACAAATCTACGAATAAACAAGGCAAAAACAAAAACAAAACAAAAAACTTAATTTAAGAATAACTCAAGGGAACCAGGGGATAATGAGAGGTAAAGATGAAGGTGAATTGATTTAAAGAAACAGATGTGTTTTGAGCGATTTCTTGAAGGTGATGATTGACGATGCAAGTCGGATGTGTTGAGGGATCTTGTTCCACTCCCTGGGGCCAGCAATCGAGAAAGCTTTGTCACCTGTGGTTTTAGTGTTAATAGGAACATGTAATCGGGAAGTGTCTGTTGAAGACCTAAGCCCCGCCCTACCTGATTGATACAAAGAGAGTAAATCGGTCAGGTAGGAAGGAGCCAGACAAGTGTTGTGTTTTGTAAACGTATAGAATTAATTTGAAAAGAATACGTGATTCAATCGGCAGCCAATGTAATTGATGCAGGAGTGGTGAGGCCTCAGTAGAGCGGCTTACACAGAGAATGAGTCTGGCTGCACGGTTCTGAAGTTTTTGTAACCGTTTCTGTCTCCTTGACTTATGCCGTATAAAAGAGAAGTGCAGTAGTCAAGGCGAGATGTGATTAGCGAACGTACTGCATGGTGACAAGTGTTCTGATCGATGAACTTCCGAATACGATTTATATTGCGTAGATGAAAGTTGACAGATCTGCATATTGTTGTGACATGTTGTGACAGAGACATAGTAGAGTCAAAAAACAAACCAAGGTTTTTGATTGGTTTTTTTTTACGGTGACTATACGTTACATTACTTGCGGCAAACATTCGAAGTTAGCTGAGCAATATTGGTGCAGCTGAACAAGTGGTTAAGAACGAACGCTTTATTAAATCTACGGGAATATGAAGCACCCAAACCCCCATTATGTCTTTAAGAACATATATAATATCCAAACGCATATAAATATGAATTAATCCGGAATCAAATTGTAACACTAGTCTGATCCAAACGCCTGCATGTGGACATCGAATATGCATATGCAATATCAAACTTCTCATGTTCTTTGTACAAACGGATTTGAATATGCAATATCCAATATCGAATTTACTGTCATCACTGTCAATATTTACAGCCGTATAAATTTGACCGGTCTTTTAACATCGTGTAACATTTCATGAAATTGTCCCTTTCCGATTTTGAAAATGTGGAATATAATAGTCTGTGCGGCCCCTGTAGTTCTGAGATTGACAAATAACTTTTAGCTCGTCTGCCATTATGGGTATAACTTGATTGTGTTATCTTACACTTCAGGGGTCATAATACCTTTGACAATTATTTCTTTTTTTTTATTACCCGTTTCAGATCGCATCCAGTGAGGCGGCGCGATCTTCTCAGCACAAAGCCGACAAGAAGGTCACCATATTGGTAGTCGTCATGATCTCGTGCTTTCTGGTAGCCTGGACGCCATACTCGGTGTTTTCTCTGTACGTGGCGGCCAGTAAGAACAACACTGTCTCGCCGGTCGCTGCCTCGATACCCGCCATGTTCGCAAAGGCTTGCACCGTCTACAATCCCATCATCTACTTTCTGTTAAACCAACAGGTTCGTAGAGGCCGCTTTCTACTCGGTATTGGTAAACAACATCAGGAAGTGCCTGCCTGCCTTAAATAACACATCATGCCTTTGCAATTCCTGTCTGTCAAGTACTCTCTAAATTCCAGTGAAATAAGGGACTAGACGTTTTAAACTAAAAATCACTCTCATTTTGGATTGAAAAAGTCTGGAAAAAAGAACCACTTCAGTCGAAGCTCGAGTGAAAACTTGATCTTTACGACTGAAGAAATTTCACTCTAAAACGTCCGGTCCCTAATTTCCGACTGTGGGAGTGAACCTTCACTCGAATGGAGTGAAATACTCTTTGGAATTTAGAGAGTAACATACTACGAAAGCCCATTAGCGCCACTGCAAGTATATATGTTACAGATTATGTAATTCGTTATTACGGATTATTAATTCGTTATAACGGATTATTAATTCGTTATTACGGATTATTTAATTCGTTATTACGGATTATTAATTCGTTATTACGGATTATTAATTCGTTATTACGGATTACTAATTCGTTATTACGGATTATTTAATTCGTTATTACGGATTATTAATTCGTTATTACGGATTATTAATTCGTTATTACGGATTATTTAATTCGTTATTACGGATTATTAATTCGTTATTACGAATTAAGTCTGATGTTCTCAAACGTGGAGAGCATGTGACCAGGGGCCTATGAATATAGCGCCGCTAGGCGGCGCTATCTTTGCATACGTTTGCTTTACACCAGCACCAGCACGAATTAGTAATCCGTAATAACGAATTAAATAATCCGTAATAACGAATTAATAATCCGTAATAACGAATTAAATAATCCGTAATAACGAATTAATAATCCGTTTTAACGAATTAGTAATCCGTAATAACGAATTAATAATCCGTAATAACGAATTAAATAATCCGTTATAACGAATTAGTAATCCGTAATAACGAATTAAATAATCCGTAATAACGAATTAATAATCCGTTATAACGAATTAGTAATCCGTAATAACGAATTAATAATCCGTAATAACGAATTAAATAATCCGTTATAACGAATTAGTAATCCGTAATAACGAATTAAATAATCCGTAATAACGAATTAAATAATTCGTTATAACGAATTAGTAATCCGTAATAACGAATTAAATAATCCGTAATAACGAATTAATAATCCGTTATAACGAATTAGTAATCCGTAATAACGAATTAAATAATCCGTAATAACGAATTAATAATCCGTTATAACGAATTAGTAATCCGTAATAACGAATTAATAATCCGTAATAACGAATTAAATAATCCGCAACATATATACTTGCAGTGGCGCTAATGGGCTTTCGTAACATACAGCGGCAGTTTTGATAACAAGGTAGTTCTTGGCGCCTTTGTTCTTTCCGCGAAGACCCCAGGATCTTTCTCATCATCCCAGCCGGTGCATGCACTGTGCAGATTGGTTGACATTCCTGTTTCATTCTCCTGGATTTCCAAATTCAATTATTGGCGCTCACGGCGCTACAACATTAAAATGATGTAGCCGGTGCATGCACCGTGCTGATTGGTTGTCATTCCTATTTTATCCCCTGGGGTTTCCAAATTCAATTATTGGTGTTAGCGGCGCTACAACATTAAATGATGTGGCGCCATGAGCACCTATACTGATGGATACGTGCGCTTTATGAATACGCATCAGGATTATAATTTATTTCTAACTTTGTACCGGCGCCGGTTCTCCCTCCCACACCTGAGACGTTTATCGTTTCCTGGCTTTTTTTTGTTCCTGGAATTTTGGCTGTCCGTGGCTCAGGAAGCTTCCTTTATCGACGCCAACACATGTCGATTGCTAATTCATTGGAGGTGATAGTCACGATTCGCTGAATCCTCCACCCACATGGGTCTTCGTTGCAACGCTATACGTGCAGCGTTACCTGTTTCACTTATTTGGCTTACAATTTCTACTAGGCCTGAGACAATCATACGTGAAGAAAACATGAGAGCCGTAGAAAAAGATGCTTGGCAGGCGATCAACTCAGGAACTCACGCAAACCTTATGAGGACCACCTTATTAGGATCATTATTGTAATTTTTCTCAACATTTCCCATAAGGTTTATTCAAAACCTGTCGAGGACTTGGCTCAGGTCCTCGGTGTTATTGTTATCGCAAATCAACAATTATCCCAAGTCCTCAGTCGTGAAGGATAACAAGGTCGCTCACACTCTTTGTAAACACCGTCAATCGTAGACCCCGTCGTCCCTCTTTAAAACACACCGACTTTTAGGAAGACCTCCTATATGTTTTGACCACACACCTAAAAGAAAAGTGGACCTTCGATCAATCGATGACCCTATTGTCCTTTATAACACCTCGCCCACAGATTCTGTATCTTGATTGGCCGAAATTGAGTCACCTATGGTATTCCCTATTTTTGCTTTCTTGCTGTGCACGACGCAAAGTACTATACCCGTAGCAAGCAAAGTGCTATACCCAAAGCAACCAAAGTACTATACCCAAAGCAACCAAAGTACTACGATGAGGGCTGGTGATGCGTGAATGTCCGACTCCATGAAATTATGGACCCATCGGCATTATTGAGCATGCGTAAGTATGATAATAGCTTATTCCTAGGCCTGTACAGGAGCGTGAATTGTCACGTGTGAGGGAGTAACCAATAATAGGGAAAGGGAGTCCGATTTTCATAGGAGTCGGAGTTTCACATGACACCGGTAATACATGCATATTACATTCTCGATTGCATTGCCATGCTTGGCTAGGAAACCACAATGCCTGAGACAACAATCTGATGTTTGCGTTCCGTAAATTCGATCAGAGATGTATTAAACCCCGGAGGTTTGCCAGAAGAGTCAAATTTGTTGAGAATTTCAACTTGATTTAACCACAGATCCTACGCACACTGCACTTTTCGGAAGAAGCTCGATTGCTCGATTTTTATTTTTTTTTGAATTTTTTGAAGAGAATGTTTACGCGTCTTTAAGCCATTACGGGTCAGAGAAGTTTCACAGAGAGACAAATTGTTGCCTGCGGGAAATCTTGCTGATTCCTTTTCAAGGCTGACAGGGGAAATTGAGATTCAGTGTGCTTCCGCTGTTGTGGAAAGTCCGATGTGTCAACAGGCATTCCTCTATTACATTGTTTAGGTTGTGCACATTCTAAAAAGTCCTGGGTCAGATTTTTGTCTCTTTTACCGGGTCAGAATTGTTTGACTCAATCTGAGTCATAATAACTCGGATTGGGTCTGATCTGCCCCTCTCAAAGGCCGAATTTCGCTTCTGTTATCATTTGACAAGATGTTAATTGTTTTCAAATGTCTCACAGATCGGTAATCTGTTCTGCCCAATAATTTCTCCTTGGCAGCGACTTGACATGGACAGAGACTCATATAACTCCTGAAGCTGTAGTTCCGGTATCGGGTGGTTCTCCACCTCCGTGAGATGATTCAGAAAAGGCTCGCATTTGACAACAACAAAAATATGCATCCATTCCAGATACTATTACGAGGAGCCAATTAGCCACTTATGTAATATGTCAATAAAATAAGGAATTCAAATTCCATCGCCTACCCGGAATTAAAATAACACATCCCGGCCCTGTGCATGTATAGGGAAACTAACACCTTGAGTAATCTAATGGAGTTGCAATAGGTGTGTGACAACTCCTATACGTGTATTTGCCTGAGAAACTATTATTAAACCTCGATCGGGGGGCCGCCCGATAGTCCGAAGGACCGATAGTCCAAAGGTTCTTTAGTCCGAAGGTTCGATAGTCCGAATGCACAAAATTTCCATAAGAGGGGGTTCGTAAGTCCGAAAATGAAATAAGGTTCGTTAATCCGAACATTTGATGCAATAGTCCGAAGGTTCATTTATCCGAAGGTTTATTAGTCCGAAGTTTCATTTATCCGAAGGTTCGATAGTCCGAATTTAGAATAAGGTTAATCAGTCCGATGGTTCAAAAGTCCGAAACGAAAATAAGGTTCAATAGTCCGAAGGTTCATTATTCCGAATTGACAATAAGGTTCGATAGTCCGAAAAGACTATAAGGTCCGAATGTCCAAATCGACAATAAGGTCCGATAGTCCGAATCGACAATAAGGTCCGATAGTCCGATTCAACAGTAAGGTCCGATAGTCCGAAGTGTCATACTGACGAACCGTATTGCCCATTCGGACTATCGAACCTTATTCTCAATTCGGACTATCGAACCTTAGGCCTATTGTCAATTCGGACTATCGAACCCTACCATATATTCGGACTATCGAACCTTATCATGTATTCGGACTATCGAACCTTATTGTCGATTCGGACTATTGAACCCTATCGCCCTATTCGGACAATCGAACCTTCGGATTAATGAACCTTATTCTATTTTCGGACTAATGGGCCCTTCGGACTATCGAACCTTCGGATTATCGAACCTTCGGACTATTGAACCTTCGGACTAACGAACCTTCGGACTAATGACCCTTCGGACTAAAGAACCTTCGGACTATCGAACCTTCGGACTATCGGGCTGTAACCCCTCGATCGTGCAGTTGGTATATATTACATTAATTACAATAAAATATAGCAATGCTGTGCAAATCCAATCGGTGTTACCAATTCAAGCATAATTTCACTTTCAACAACATCATAATGGACTATATATATCGGCTTGCGGATGCCGCGGCCATTGACATTTCTGACATGAAGCTCTATTACGGAAGATGTCCGTATCGTATTATTAAGCAACAGTTCGCATTTAATACAGGCCTTACCCCCCGGCAGGTGTTTCACTATCTAGAGTGTCTTTAATACCAGATTGAGATGGGAAAAACTGCCATTATGACTGTGTTCAATTTTTACCGAATCCCTGTAGTCACATGCCTGCAGTCTTCGTGATGTTGATTATATTCGCTTTTTACGTTCGAAGTCGTAACCCTATCACCGTGGGGACGAAGATTGTTACGTGGACGGGAATAGCAACACACAAAATCTGCACGTCCCCCGTTCGTTCGTTTTAAGTAGAGAAGGGTCAAAGTTGTGCATCCCGAGGACATCAAGCCAGGTTCTAATGATTCTACATTGCTCATGCAGTCTTGTTAGCTACCGACGGATAGCTGTTTGTTTTGTTGGGTTCTCCGTGTTCCGTGCTCACTGTATACCGCGTTTTGTTTTGCATTTTCGGCGATACTTTCAGTACTTTTGCTTCCACGATCGATTCTTTTGATTAAGAGTCAGTTCTTTTGTCAATTGCAAAAGCCGCTCTCATACTCAAGAAATCTTTTCATACTATCAAGATTTAAAGCTCTGAACGAAGTCACGCAAGACAATTTGTTTTGCACAACTGGAGGCAAGCAAATGCACAGGAATTCTCCTGGGAAAAACGACGTATACCTTGTCCTAATAATTTATGCAAATACAATCAGAACATTAAAGAGAATTAAAATGTGTCGGTTGTTTTCCTCTTGGCTTGGAGAACAAGCGTGGAACAAGCTCAGATTGCTTGTGAATTGCCATGCGTGTAACCGCTGTATGGCCTTCAAGAAAAGGGTATAATTACGACATCAATCTTTCTGCTAATTTCCCTTCCCTCAGTTCAAGGACGCATTCATTGATATGATGTGCTGTGGACGCAATCCATTCAGTAATGATGATGTCATAGACGACACAGCAAGAACGAGAGCCCTCAGACAGGCTACTCGCCAGCCTAGAAACATCACAGGTACGGACAACCGGCCTGGACGTGAGGACATCTCGGCTAGCCTCGGCACCCAGATGTCGGAGATTGGGGCAACTCCTGCCATGCCGCGACGCCCCGTCAAGATCGCCGACTGGGGCGCCAAGAGCTCCAAGGACGATCAACCTCAGCCCGCCCTAGAGAAGAAAGTGGAGGAAGGGGAAACCCAAGGCGTGATGGAGACTCCGGTGGAGGTCTTCCAGGTGGACGAAGAGTCTCTGGACGAACAGCAGGCCGCCAAGAACGAACAGGTCAAAAAGCACAGTCGGGGATTTCATAAAAGTCGCAAGGTTTGCCCAGTCGAACAACCTGATGTTGAGGAGGCATGAACAAGAATAACAGAAGACTTTCAGAATTCTTAGGGTGTGAGACACTTTATTTTATGAATTGCTCAGACTTATACTTTCGGATGGGTTTGTTTTTTGTAAATACGAGATGACCCGCATGAAAATAATTGTTCAATTTGGGAAGACGCTTTAATATGCGAAGTGTGTAATAATCTTGCGATTGTGAAGTTTACATGTTGATTTTTTCATACAGTGAATTCAAATTTTCGTTTGAAATTGATGCATATTTAAACCTTTGGTTTCCCGCCAGGATAGATATCTGATCCCTTACACATACTTCTTGAGACGATAACGGATTTGTTCACGGCATTTTATTTTACCAGCTATACCCTCTCAGCGTTTTATCTTTAAAGAGCCCATGCAATGTGTTTTTTTTAATCCAATCCTTGAATATTTGCCAATTTGCAAGGGTATTTTGGTGCCTTTTTGTTTGTTATGCTAACGCGATTTTCCAGATTCATGAGCAACAGTTTAATGTGTAATTTCAGGCAGAAACCTCCATGTAACAGCTATTTCAGCACCAGAAGTTGCCAGCATTTTGGATATTGTGCTGTTGTCAATTTTCTTTTCTTTGGTGATTCGTTGTTGTGTCAGTATAGGCCTATGGCAGTAAGCCAACGGGCAAACTTTTCTCACATGTTTTGAATGCACGCATTTTTAGATTCAAAATTTGAATGGAAAACCCCTCAACTGAACAGTGTGTTCAAAAAGGAATGTCAATTAGTTTTCAGACATTTAAGGGGAGTAGAACGTTCCACAAAATGTGTTTCTAAGAAAGGGGGTCCTGAAAATTAGCAAAAGGCGGACATGTAATTGTGCAAGCAACTTACGAGTTGCAAGTTTCACACTCATCCGAAGTAATTTATTATAGATTCTATTTTTTTATCGAGCAAACGAGCACATTGACGGTTTGCACCCTCTATCACGCATATCTCCATCATCTACGAATTCCAATGTCAGTGTCAGTTGTTACGCCAACTATTACCATATCGTGACCAAGATAGAAATGTTAAGATGTTAATCCAGTGAACTATAGTGTGAAATCTGGACTCCGTGAAACACGGACCCTTGGTTGTATTAACCTATCGCCGTTTGCGAGTTACCAAAGCCCCTTAGACAACCCTATGGAATTTTGTACGCTATAGTTTAGTTTGTCTCAGATTTTGCGCGTTCCGCGTCCATTTTGTATATCATGTTATTGGGACAATATATTTCACAAGCTGCATTGACGCGATTCCAACGCGATTCTACCGCGATGGGTTAATATATTGCCAAAAGTGAACATAATAAGGACAGTGAAAGGTCAAGTGTGAGAGGCAAAAGAGGCAAATATAAGGCAAAAGAGACCAGATTTCTTAGGAATTCCACATTTCAAGGCAACGTTACAGCACCGTTTGTGCAGTTTTACCACTTAGGAAGTATCATACTCTTCTCTGTCTTATTCATTTCACTCTTTCTTGCAAATGGATATAAGGGTTCTTCAAAAGTGCACCGGCCCTGTAGCTCGGAATTGAAGAGAGATATAGCGGTGGGAGGAAATCCTAGAAGGATAATCCAAGTAGTCAACCTGCAGACACTGAACTCCAGTCCGAATGTAGGTCAAGTGGTTGGATGAGGAGGTAATATCACAAGGCCAACGTGTCTTCAGCCCTCCTGCGATTTGTAATGTCATGAAAACGAAACCTGCACCCGATTTCACGAAGCGCTGCGACGCGTCGCAACTCAAGTTACGACGTGTAACACGTCGCAACTCGCGACGCGTCGTATCATCCATTTCACGAAAGTTGCGATGTGTTGAACGCGTCGTAAGTTCCTTGACAACGGCTTAAAACACGTCGCAAGTTACGACGTGTCTAGTGGTCATCGCAAAACACGGTGATGAAGAGTCCCTTTCTAAGCCAGTTTAATGCCATAAACATGACAAAAATGAGATTATAATACCAAGGCAATGTGTGTAAAGTTGTAAATAGAAAATTCATTGAATAATTATGAATTAGACTGGAATATTGCAGTTGAAATTTCAAAGTAGCTATATAGTCCACTGAGAGCTTGTTTTCCTTCAAAATTGCATCGCACGGCCGCCATTTTGTTTTACGTTTTAACAAATTTCGAGCTGAGATCCGACGACTCTTTGTTGAATATCACACGACTATTTACTGTACGCTGACTAAATACAAACAGTCACCGAGTTGTGCTATAAATACACCTACGACGCGTCGCACGTACGACGTGTTTCGCGAAATGGATCGCAGGACGCGTCGCAGCTCTGCTGCGACGCATCGTAGAGATACGACGCGTCGCATCGCTGCGATGCATCGTAAGTTACGAAGAGTTTGATGAAATCGGATCTGGTGTTGTCGCATTCAGGTCTTTTAAAGCAGATGAAGCACGCCCCCGTATTTTGTATTATTTAGGGCATTATTCGAGAGTGGCATTCAGAATCATGGACTCGACGAGGCCTAGAGAGGCCTAATAACATATTTATGGGAAAATTATAGTGGTATAATATACAGTAGCAATGGCGTGTTATTCTTATCTGAGCGCTTATTTGGTTATCATCAGTGTATATATATAAGCGTAGGCCTGGAATTGAAATGGATAACAGTGATTCGTAAATCGGTATTTATTCTATAACACGAAATAAGCCTTGTATTCGGTAAGGTAATTAACGTACATGTATTAACTATTTTGTTTTTGTTCAGATATATTAATATTGGATGAGTACGTCGGGAAAAGAGGCTGTTTGTCCAGCGAAACCGTTGAACCGAGACTGATAGTGTATTATCGCTTTGGAGATTATGTTAGCTCGAGTGCAATGGCGCTCAATTCGGGGATTCACCGTGCGCCCCCAAGAGTTTGCCATGGAGAGTCAATTTTTTCAAGTTAACGGTCGACAAAACAAGGCCTATTTGAATGAGTGTCGGTATCTACTTGAGCCAATTTGTTATAGATTGGGGCATATCATTCTGCCGTCTTACAAAAAAACCCACCATATTCATTAAAAGAAAAGGACAAACAGATACTCGAATCGTACGCTTACGAAACTATAGTATACTGACAGGAAAAACTAGCAATTTCAAATGTCCTGCGCTGCGAATTTGTCGACCAGCTCCCACAACGCACTGGGAAAATGAACTCTCGGTGGCAAACTCTTGGAGGCGCACTGCATCGTGAATCGCCCGAATTAAAGTTGGAGTAAACCCAACTTCGTTCCCAGTGATTACTTTATCTCCAACGTCGTTTCCAATAGTAAGTCCTGGATAGGAAACTTTATTTCTGTATCCTGATTCGGTACCGCAATTGGCTAGTAATGGATTTTTATCGTGTACTTGGTGTTATTATTCACAACGTGCAGTACGTGTTTTCGCGATCATTCGTCCACGCCTTCTCGAAAATACTAATTTCCTTTCCAATTTGTTCATATTAATATGAAATATGATACTGCATGTTGTCTCGATAATATCGTAACAGTTTAATTAAATAAATCGCGTTTTCGTAACTCACGCCATGCTCGAGCTTCGACAAATTGACTCTGTTTTTACCCTCGGACACCGCATACAAAAACAATTGCTAATGTAACGCACATCCAGGCGCCAGACTATTCCTCATTTGCATACGTGTTCAAAAATCTTGCACATGCAAATGATCCAATACCAGGGTGAGAGAGCAGGTAGTGATGGGCGCGTACTGTTCGACACCGTGGGGACGAGGTTGGGGTAAACCGCAAACATGACCGCAAAGATGTTCCTATGTATCGTCAGACCCCCAAAAATGACGAGGATATGTTTTGACGCACTCGCATTCAATTTGCGTTGGACAACGCGTGCGCGTTGCAAGCGTTACCTTTGTCAATTATTATGGTGACTCGAGGATAAGTGTCGTTTGAAGCTCTGCATATAGAGGAGTCTTTAACTAGTTGTAGTATGAGCTTGCGGGTACGCCATGAGAAGATGGTGTACCAGCAGGCTTCACTATTTTATTGTATGCATTTCTGTTTGGTTAAAAATACAAATTGTACGGTTGACGCCCCCAAGCAATGTATCATTCTTGGTCTGATGGGATTTGAAGGTCTGCATGGAGAAGTATAATCAATGAGGCTAAGTTTGCAGTAACACCATGTATTACAAATCTCTGCTGTGAGCTTGTGAGGTTTTGAAATGAAGCGGGGGAACTGCATGAAAATAATATGGCCGACAGGGAAATGTGGAATTAATCGCGCTCGGAGTCTTGAAACAAGCCCTCTTTTAAGTGTGTGAGATATAAAAGTACAAGGATGGGGCTTAATAACTTACCTATACTAACATGTACACCGTTATTATGAGGCTGTAAATAAAGCTGCATTTTGTCAGCTTCATGTCAGATAAATCACTGTACAGTAGTGCAAATTGACCGCTTTATGTCAAAGGGAAAAACTCTCAGCGTAATGATTCACTGGGTTTACTCTGCAAGGACCAATGCATAATATTGAGAAATACTTCACTTGCAGGGTTTCAGTACTTTTAGAGTGCAGGATTTTGCCCCTATGTGGGGTCCAACACTGTGTCCAAATTAGGGTGTCGGAAGGGGGCTTCACATTAGTAAACATTGGGTCATTTTTGTACGTTTGTATATGTCAAAATGGAAACCCAGATCTATTCCCGATCCACACACATCCCTCTCTAACTCACCGGTAAAAACATCTATGGGTCTATGACTGCTAGGCGAAAAATGTTCACGTATTCATCATTCAAAAAAAATCTTCGACCTTCTTATTCGGTGGATGTTTGAACAAGCCATTCACGTATTTGCTTGCGCTTATCGCACATACTCAAATACCAAGCTTATACATGTATAATGGTTATAATTATGAAGTGTATCATAAATGTGGTATTTGGACCAATGTTTTTGTTAGCGACTTGGAGAGTGTTTGTTTATTCTAAAGATGTTTTCAAGAAGCAATATTGGTGTCAAATGGCGCTTTTGTACAATAAACGTGGGCAGTGTGAGTTACTTGGATGGGAATAATATAGGAAGTGTGCACTTCTATTAGTTCGAAAATTCACGCACTGAACTAGTCAAGAACATAATGCGCATGCATTACTATAGTACAATTTATATTTTGGAAACGAATATAAACAAAACTAAAAGCTTTAATAAATCATTAAGAATTATTAATTGTACTTTGATATAATGAAATGCATAAAGTGTTGTATAATGCGTTCACCAATGCCTCGTAATTATTTAACGTTCATGTATGAACTTATCATGCAAAGCTTGAAATTGAAAATTAAGACGGCTGCATCTTTCGCTTGTAATCTCGTAGAATGATCTCCAAGATTTGTAACCAGTCTTGTAGATGCGGTCATGATTGGATGTGGTGAGAACGAGCATTGTGCGATGATTTAAAAGTGTTTTTTTTTTCAGTACAAGGTGGAACGTTTAATTTTGAAGAACAGTGAGGCAATTTTCTTATCATAATATCAACTGCATTGGAAATGTTATATGGTGCTTCATCTATATAAACAACCCACAAATACTCAGTTTCTGTTTTTCATTAGATAA